AAAATCCCAACACTGGCGATCACTGGCGCAATTGAATTGAAGTAAATATTTTGTTACATCATATCGGTAATTTATATATAAACAAACAAAAAGTATTTGCCATAATACAAGATACAAAAGTGTACAGATGTACGTATAAATCCTCAATCAGATTAAATGTAACAATTAACTTGTATTTGAAATCTTGCAAATAAATGCAATTTCGACTTTGTTTACGTCGTATTCGTGAATTCCACGTGTAATTCCCGCACTTGAACACCAATTTTCGGTATCGGTGTTATTGATCTCACGCCAGCCAATGAAATTGATAATTTCATTCCGTTTCTCCAGAGTCATGCCCACCTAACCTGCGAACGGGCATACTCTGGGTACGAGATTGTGGGGAGACATGGTGTTGATGGTCTCAGAGTCCTCAGGGGGGATGTTGAACTAAACCTAAACTTAGTATGAGAGTTCCAATCGATCACAAAATGCTTTATTATAATTATTACATGTATAATCCTCCAACATCCCCCCCCCCAAACGTCAGATGCTTTGCTACGTCCCTGATGGTTGTATTCGAAACCGATTTCAGTTTTAAGATATCCCTAGTCTGCTCTTCTAAATGGATACATGAAATCACCTATAGCTTATTTAAAATGCCAGCTTTGTGAATTAATTTCCAAAAAGTAGCAGTTCCAAAAACAAAAAAGCATACGATTTGTAAGAATGATATGTTCTATGTTGACGGGATATTTAGTACAAACGGAATGAAAATTAAAGAAATTGAAGCATACTGGCACTTTTACATGCATTTTTGACAGGCATGCAAAGACAGTTGCAACAGATGCCAGGAGATACGTTGGGTAGGAGGCGACATTTTCTAAGGTTCCAGCACATTACCCGGTTCCCGGAAATCCTGGCCACTACATGAACGTGTTCAAGACTCCGACTACGCTGAATGACGGACAACAACAACCTGTTAATAATTTCGCCCCTAGAGCCAATCTAACATGTTTTTTTAAAGACGGTGCCATTTCATCTGGCGCTAGTGAGGTGAAAGAAGCAGCAGGTCGTATTTTTGTCGAGGAGAAGCACATGCTTGAGTATATCATACATCTTGAGGAACTGCAAATTGCATCTATGATAAGAGAGAATTCCGGATTGTACTTCTTCGATTCCGAATTCTGGAGGGGGTGGTGGTTGTGGTGGGGGGGGGGTGGCATTGAAAATTTCAAGAACGTGGAGGGGGCATCGAAAATTTACCAATAACCTCAACTGCATATGCTAGCACAATTACAGCCTTGAGGCTAATGAGGTCCATTAAAGGTCCGAATTTGAGGCATTTGTAAGGCCCTGGACCGCAAACGAACCCAAATCGGGCAAGCTGACCAATGGAAATGTTTTGCCTTTGATGATACTCTTTCATATAGGGGGTCATCACTTTTGAGGAAAATGGGTCGTTATGTTAGTAGCTCCTGGACTATTAATATTACGTTCAATAGCCAGACATAGTTTAGTCTAGGACCTGTATATGAGTTTGTATGCATTTCATTTAGGACAGATAATCTCAACTGTTTTGGGGCAAGTTGACCATGACGGTCAACATGGTAA